TTGCAATGGAGGACTCTGTAGCGGACTGTCCCCCTGCTGACAGTCCATCCCTTGATGGGTCGTTCATCTTACCGGGCGCCCCACTACACATTGCGTCTCGGACGGCATGGTTGACCCTTCGCAAATGGAGGGCGAGTCACGGGAACCTGGGCCAGAAAAGCATAATCGAAAGAAAGCAAGAAAAGTGCGCTAGCCCTCCGCACTCAAACCGAGAGGTGAGACGTCGCTCAAGATGCAACCACCTGAGTGGAAACCACCACCTGGTGAGGCAATTCCCTCAGTTTCACCTAAGGTTGTACAGTCAGTGGGTGAAATACCCCAGATGCCACCATCGCTTGCTACTCAAACTGCGGTACCCACTCCAAACTCCTCTTCCTGTCTTCCGGGGTACAGGTCGTGTAGGCGGGCATGGACGTTAAGCCACGGGCTTTCCCGCCTGCAAAGGGAAAGAAAAATCGGAACAGAATCGCCCGTACTCTTCAGGCAGGTACGAAAACCGTCAAGCATGACGACACAAACATGCTGGAGCGTAAGACGTACACTTCAGTTGCTTTAACGTCGTCTGACAACTTGGCCCAGTCCCACTGCCTGCGGCTAAGCCGGTTGCCCTTCGTGTAAATGCCAGAACCCGTGGGGTAAATACACCCCGTCGAGGTGGTTCTTTCATGGATAGCAGCGTGATATTCCGTAACGCAGTGGAATCCACTGCTGCACTTCCTGCCGAACGTACATTGGACGGCCTACAGTGGTTTAAGATGTGCGTAAAGAAGCTTCTTCCGCCTGGGTTTCCCGGTGTTGCTGTCTGGAAACTGACTAGATTGGGTAACGTCCCAGTTAACGCCCCAAACCCTCGACCGCGCTTACTTCGGGTAGTCCCATTTACCACGGAGAAACGCCACGCGCTGTTGTACTTTACCTTCAAATTGAAGGGTACTAATGTTAGCGTTCAGCCAGACCTCCCATTAGCGGATAGGCTGAAGTTAAAAGTGGCCATTAAGGACCTCAAGACCAGGCGAGCGGCCGTTGAACAAGGTCTCCGGTTGGTGGGATTTCGGTGGTCAGCCGGCGGTCTGTTTCCGCCCTACCAGTGCCAGTACTGGTAGCGCATGACCTAGGACTGGACATTACGGGTACCTTCAATAGTGCTAAGCAATGTGCGGAGCCTAAGGAATAAGAAATGCGAGATAGGTCTACTTGTAGATGAGTCTCATCCCGATATACTTGCATTCACTGAAACGTGGCCGTCCCCAGAGTACCTGAGGTTTCGTATTTAGCTGAGTTTACTGTGGTGGAAACGCAAGTCCTTATACTGCTGCAAGAACTGAACCCTTCCAAAGCGGCTGGCCCTGATTCAATTCACCCGAAACTTCTGCATGAGTTGGCTGGGGAACCAAGTGGACTGCTGAGGATGGTGCTTCGGAATTCACTTGACTGCTGTACATTACCTTCTGAGTGGAAGGAGGCTATCATCTGTCCTATCTACAAAATTGGCGACAGGAGTCTGTCAGCCAATTATAGGCCACTCAGCCTGAGTAGCGTCGCGGTCAAACTGCTTGAAAAGCAGGTAAGAGTTTCGTTGGAATGCCACCTGAATAGGTTTAATCTACCCAGTAGTGCACAACTTGGATTCCGGAAGGGGTTTTCATGTTTGACGAATTTGTTGGTTGCTCGTGAAGCTTGGGCCGAGGCAATGAAGAATGGCCACGTAGTGGATGTGCTTTCCGTGGACTTCTCAAATGCATTTGAGAAGGTACCTTACTTGAGGCTATCACAAAAGCCAAGCTCCTGCGGCGTATCTGGCCGCGCCCTTCACTGGGTATCTGCATTCGTGCAGGGAAGAGAGCAGTGTGCACGTGTGGGTCGCAGCTTATCCTTTAAGCAAGCGGTCCTTAGCAGGGTCCCACAGGGCTCGGTCCCTGGACCGATGCTGTTCGCTGGCTGGCCGAACAACCTCCTCGTGGTGCCAGCTGGGTGGTTCGGGTTTACCCCCTTCCAGCAAATAGTTCGGCGGCAGTGTTCCAGGACGTGGTGGGTTTTCGCCTGGCAAGCGTTCTCCCTATAAAAAGCCACAAAAGTCCGTTTAACAACACTGTGACGTGGCGGTTGTGACTCGCCACTAACTAAAGTCACCCATTGCTTATCCGGACAATCGCTTCAAGTCCACAGATATCAAGCATCCATTTAGCACTGGCGACACCTTCAAACACATTCAAGCAAAACGACAGGAAACATTTACCAATCTCATAAACAAATCTAAACACGCCTACATGTGAACTTACATCCGTTCATACATAAACATATGCAACAATCCCATTGTTCCATTGTACATTAATTGATCACATTTTGTACTCTTAACATGATCATGCCTGCGCAGGCGTGCCTCGCTTAGTCGAGAATACACAATTTATTTATTTATTTATTTATAAACGATCTTCCTAGAGAGCTTGGGGTAACATCCTTATTGTCTGCTGATGACCTTAAGCTATGGAATGTTGTCGATGTTCCTGGGGGTTCTGAGGCCATACAGCATGCCCCGGACAGACTGTGGGACTGGTCTAATTTGTGGCTACTGCCCATAAATCAGGCTGTGTTCCGTCCTTCGTATAGGAGCAACATTTCCGCCTTCGAGCTACGTACTCGGTGGCGTCGAACTCCCCCTTGTCTCCAACCAGGTAGACCTAGGTGTCATTCATTCCACGTCTTTGCATTCTGGTGACAACTGGAAGAAGGCCGCTAGTAGGGGTTTCAGAATTTTGTGGTTAATACGCCGTCCTTTCGGGGTCTTAACTGCCGACATATTTGTGAAGCTGTTCTCAGCTTTCGTCCGGCCCTATCTGGAATACTGCGTCCAGGCTTGCCCGTCCTGCCTTGTTCGGGACAAAATGGAGCTCGAGATGGTTTTGAAAGTAATTACCAAATTGGTCGAGGGGTTATGGGGGCAATCGTACCCCGAGCGTCTACTTAGCTTGGGTATGTATTCAATACACTACCGACGGCTTCGAGGAGAATTAATCCTTACTTACCGTATTTTAACTAGGAAGGTTGGACCAGACTTGAGCTGGCTATTTAGCCCCGCCAGGTTGCCTTATCTTCGCGGTCATCCCATGAAGCCACACAAGCCGCGTTCTGACCGGATCAGGGCGGAAACTCGGTTATCGCGTAGAGTTATCGAGCGATGGAACTCACTTCCAGAAAGTGTAGCCAGTGAACCTACGGCTAAAGATTGCAAGCGTCAGTTAGACGCTCTTAGGTGGCAACACGAAGCATTTCCCTTCTCCTGACCATATCCATCTTCAAACTTTTGGATCTTATTCTCCCATTCTCTTCACTCTTTGGTGTCATCCTTCAGTTGTGACTTTCATCCCCTTTATCTCCAATTTACTTGCTACTTCTTTCTTACTTCGCGTAACCTACACAGCGGGGACTGCTGGTGCAAGAAACGTGGGCAGTAAATGGTTGATCAGCGAGTGTTTCGGGTGTTTCGTTTTAGATGCATCAAGACCTAGCACCTTATCGTTTCCTGGCTCAACGATTTGCTCAAGTAGGAACACCCAATGGATTTCCCTATTGTTCCTGTCCATCTGAATCTGAAGCAGACGGTAGCTCAAGAGAACGCTGATCGACTACAGGAGACGCTCGATCTCCTACACACTTGGTCGATTCAGTGGCGCTTACCCATTAATCAAGACAAAGGTTCCGTCCTGCCTATCGGCGCGCTCAACCACACGGCGCTTACGACATTGGTAGTTTCTTGCTCAAAAATGTTACGTCAGAGAGAGATCTGGGCTTGCTTGATTCCCCGGACTTAAGATCCACTCAGGACACCATGAAGAGGGTTGCCGCTGCCTACCGGATGTTTCATGCCATCCGAAGAGCTTTCTGTCGCTTGACACCGGAACTCTTTAGAATTCTGTTCACCTCGCATGTGCACCCGATTTTGGAATACGGCTTCCCTGTTGCCTACCCGCTTTCCAAATTTGAGCGCGACATGATGGAATAGGTTCAATGGCGTGGACCGCAGTTTGTCTCGTAGTTACGTGACCTGCCGTATCCCCCTCGGCTTCGGCATTTGAATATGGTTTCTATGGATTACCGCCGTCGGCGTAGGGACTTGATCCTTACCCGTCGTATCCTCAGGGGAGCACTAGGGAGAGAGTTGCAGGAATTCTTCCACCTCAACATCGCGAGTTCGACTAGAGGCCACCACTGGAAAATATTCAAGCCACTGAGGCTCAAATTACGGTCCATTCTTGCTCTATCCACCCGCGTTTTGAATAATTGGAACCGGTTACCGCCGGCAGTCGTTGATGCACAGACAGAGGATTGCTTCAAACGACTACTTGATACACACCTGTTGAATATGCCGGCATTGTGTTGCTTCAGCTACTAGTACGACGGCCTCACCGGAGTTCCCGTTGCGCAATGACGAGCATCCCAGCAATGACCGGGAAGCGATGGAGCTGACAAGAGATTTCCCCTCCAGCTCTCTACTACCCCCAATGAACCCCAATGAATCCTGGGGTAGGTCATGGACAGCAATTGCGAAAAGCAACGGCCCTAGGACCATTACATGCAGTTGCAGGACATGCCTTTGCACTCCGCATGGCATTTGCTGTCAAAATGTAATGCTAGTATAAATTCTTCGAAGCAAATAATTTCAAGAACATTCAGTACAGACTGATGGAATTTCGCCATGTCTTCACGACCTTATTCGCAGTCACTTGGACCCTCATTTCGTGGCTTCAACGCCGCTCGGCCTGGATGTTCAAGTGCTTGCCTTTCGCGAACCCCTGCGGAAAGCAGGTTGACCATATTGATAGAAGGCATTCGAAATTGGAGCAAGTTCCAGACGAAGTTTTAAGAAGTTTCCGGACATTGGAAGAATGTAGGCTTGACGCCAATCAAATTAAAGAGCTTCCAAAAGTAACACCTGATCGACAAATCTAACTTTCAGAACTTTTTTCGTCTCGAACGGATCAGGTACTTAACACTGAGCGATAATGATATCACTGAAATCCCATCTGGCCTTGGCAATTTCTCACATCTTGTTGAGCTGGACGTCAGTCGAAATGGTAATAGTTCTCTTGTCCTCAAATCTTTTCTACCTTGTCAGATATTTCTGGCCTCCCAAACAGCATTAGGTTTTGTGACTCTCTGCAAATTGTGGATATCAGCAACAACCCATTACAAAGGTTAGCTTCTCAAACTCATGTTTCGCACCTGGTTCAGTTTTCGCTTAGTTTCCATCACTGTTAGTCTCTCATCGCTTAACCGGATAGCTACATTATCAGTCTTTGATATAGTGTGTTTGCCTGTTTGCGCTATCTACTACACCCACCAACTAGTATCATGTTTAACATCAACTATAAGGTTTGGACGACCGATTTCGGTTTCATGGGATTTTTTCAGTATTTCTGCTTGCGGATAGTTTGCATACTATGATCGGCATGACTTAACATTGCCTGACTTCATAGTTCATGGAGTTGTAGAGAGCAGACGGCTCCATCACCCGTTCATTTGCTGGATTGCACGTGTCGTTGCTAAACTGTGTTCCCCGAGGGATTTTTACCACAAAAACAGCGGAATCCAGGCATGCTCAGCAGGTATTTGTCTAACCGTGCTTTAAAACATTTCTGTCTGGGTACTTTCCACGCACTCAGATAGTTTGTTCCACTCATTCACAACCTGCGTGGGAAACGCGACGTCGGGCCAGACATGGTGCCTGCGAAGTTTTAAGTTTCCAAATCTTTTCCCATGTCGAACAACCTGCAGTACGTTGCAAGAACTGCTGTACTTTTTTCCCCAGATCGCCCTTTAAAATGCGTCTAGTACAAATCAGATCCTCACGGCGACAGCGGTAGTCTAGGGAAGATAAGTTCATACGTTGCAGACAGAGGATAAAGTAAAACACTTAGCATGGACCCAGACAGATCCGCGCCCTAAACCTTCTCGATCAACTCACATTCAAATTTCCTGAGTGTGTGTCTTCTAGTATTGGACGAACATGGGAGGAAACTGGGAGTCTGAAGGTCTCCAGTGTCATGGCATGGAGCATCCTTTTGGCAGAGGCCACCTTCACATCTTGTCCTGTGTTGTTCTTAAGTCTGGAAAAACAATTACACCCAAATCGCTCTTACAAGCCACATACTTCAGCAGAAAACCACCAATGTGGTAGGCACCGAAAGGTTCTTGAGCACCCATAAGGAGAATACAGCACTTACCACGACTGGTAGACATTTTCTACTTGACAGACCAATCATGCAGCAGATCGAGTGTAGGTTGCAAGTTGTCGGCATCTTCAAGCCTGGATGCTTCCGACCACAGTCTAAGATCAACCGCTTAAATCAAGCAGTCGACTTGAAAAACTTCTGGGACATGGTTGATTACGATTTTCTCTAGTACCATCTCGCTTTGCTCGCCGTAGCCGATTATATATATCGAAAATACATACATTACGCTCAACTGGTAGAGCTGTTGCAGTTTTCCGTTGAAATCTGTACTGAATCAACACAATTTAAAATTGTGTTACCCTGATGGCACTTCTAGTAGTTTCGTTGACTTCATCCGGCCTCTCGACGAACAGATGTTTGGCAATGAGAGACTTCAACGTCCCTGAAGTAAATTGGCATGACCTATTTTATGAGGTAACGGCAAGAGGATTGTCTGCTGAGCTTGTCGACTTGACACTGGAAGTACCCTCACATCGACCCATCAGGTACAAGGGACATCATGCTCGTACCTGGTATTCGTCAAGCCGCTTTGTGAGAGACCATGTGTGTTTGTCTTTCAATTGTGCTCTCATTGTTGACTACGGCACGCTGCCTCCGAACATCTGGCATGCTGACTTTCAGTTCGTTGGAGCCAAGGCAGTTAACTCTCACCATGCATCATTGCGCGAGATGGTGATATAGACAGCTTGGAATATATTTAAGTCCTGATGCCCGCTATCGCCTTTCCTCTTCAACTTCGCTATTGATGAAGTCATGGAAACAGCGTTCGCTGGACACGACCTGATGAGCGACTTCTTGACTTGGAGTATGCAGACGATATTGTCCTAATCTGTGACAGCTCCCAAACATGCGAAATAGCACTGGACCGACTAGCTCTGGCTGTCAATCATTTTGGACTATGCTTTGCTCCATCGAAATGCAAAGTACTTCTCCAAGATTGGCAGGGACCCAGCCCTGCGCTAACGCTTGGTGGTGATCTGCTAGAAGTCGTTCAGGAATTCAAGTACCTGGGCAGCTATATTAGCACCCGTGGGATTGAAGATGAGGTTACGAACCGTATAGCAAAAGCTCGAGGTGCTTTTGCCAATCTCCGCCACCTGTGGCGCAGACGCGACATTACTCTCGCCCTGAAAGGCAGAGTTTACAACGCAGCCGTCCGTTCAACTCTCTTATATGGCTGTGAAACCTGGCCCATAAGGTCGACAGACATGAAGAGGCTCGTCACATTCGATCATCGTTGCCTTCGCAGCTTAGCTCATGTCTGGTGGGAACCCCGCGTGAGCACTGAGCGTGTTCGACTTTGCGTATTTGGTGCAGGAAAAGCGAGTGAACAGCTCAGCACCATTATATTACGCACCAGGCTTCGATGGCTGGGCCACGTGTTGCGCATGCCAGCACACCGACTCCCACGATGTGCATTGTTTGCGCGTTGTGGGTGCGGTTGGAAGAGGAGGAGTAGGGGAGGCCAAGTGATGACTTGGTCGAGAGGAATGAAAACCCTCACTTCGAAGTTGGCGTCGGTTGGTGCATCCCGATTGCCTGGCTGGGGTCCTAAGGATGGTGAACACGTTTGGTTGGACACACTTGCTGATATGGCTTGGAGCCGGCCCCAGTGGCGTTTGTGTTGTGAGTTCCTTTGTCCATCCCCCTCCTGCTTAGCATCCCCCTCCAATCATGATCTCACCTGATAGGTATAATATGACTTTTCCGGCAGCCAGCTGTTAGCTCTCCGGAATGATGTCCATCCGTTACTGGGGACTCAGCGGGCGTGCCACCGTTTGTTTTCCTTTTCTTATCTTTTGTATTGCGGCACAATAGCTGAGGTGTTTTCCACCTTCAGCCAACGTGTAATGATGATGATGATGAAGTTTAAGTCCTTCCTCTCTGATGACTCCCTCACATCTATTTTCAGTGAGGAAGGTTGCAAAAGCAAAACCACCATGGTTGGGCTCAGTTGCACACTAGCTACTGAACATGGACGAGATGCTGGCAAACCTACCAGATTGCTCTCTTTGAATTTTGTTATGATCTACTCTCCCTGACAAGTATACTTTTCGGCGTTATCTTGAAGCGCGACGTGCTTGCAAGAGTCAACTGCGAGCTGCTAAACTGCTGCGAGATAGAGCTGGTTAACAGTAAACCCCAAAAGATTATTGGACTATTTCAAAGGGCGTAGTAACGTTAGCTCCTTTATCCACATTATTTGGCATTTACAGCGCCATCACGGATCACGTAAAAGTCTGTCTACTCAACGGGCAATATGCCGGGGCATTTGTTCGAGAGGAGCAGTTACCTCATGTCAATTTAGTGGTGAGAGTTCCACAGGACCCTGTATAACTGACGTCTCAATTTCGTTAGCACAGGTTCTCCAACTTCTTCAGGGACTACGTCTTACTAAGGCCGCTGGGGAAAGTGACAGTCACCCAAAGCTTCACAGCTGCACCTTGCCTAGGGACTGGAAGGAGGCTATCGTCTGCCCGGTTTTTAAAATGGGCGACAAGCATTTCGTGGCCAATTATAGATCGGTTAGTTTGACAAGCGTACTGGGCAAGTTATTGGAGAATTTATTTGAGGATGTGCTCGAAAACCTTTGCTATTTGCCATTTGGCCTGTGCTATTCTTAGTCCACTACAACACGGTTTCTGTGAGGGTCACTCCTGCCTGCTTAATTTGCTACTTACGCGCAAATGTTGGGCGTATGCCGTGGGTCGGGGTTATGCACTGGACTTGCTGCTTATTGGCTTCTTCAAAGCGTTCGACTCTGTACATAATCCTCGCCTCACCTTGAATTTTCTGTCCTGTGGCATATCTGGGCGTGGTCTTAAATAAATAGGCATAAGCAGTACGCCGGTATGCAGTACATGCGTTTCGCTGCCGCGCAACCACCACCGGTCGCATATGGGCTAGGGATCCTGCGATTGTCGCCCTGCTCCTACGCATGCTCGAACTCGCGCCGTCAGATTACAAGACAAGCTTGTTACCTTTACGCTACGGGCCAATACGCTCAAATGGATCTTCACATTTCTGGAAGGGAGAGGTGTGTGTTCCTATAGGGTCTAGTCTGTCCTTTCGTCAGTCAGTCCTTAGTGGGGTTCCGCAGGGTTCGGTGCTTGACCCATCATTATTTTCTCTGTACATCAATGAGCTGCCCGAACTCATGAGGGTACCGTCTCTCATCTTTGCATATGGCACACAGTGTCCGATTTCGATGGACCCAGACTCTGCAACGATCTTTTGATGAACTTTGTGACTGGGCTGCTCTTTAGCAGATGCCTATAGATTACGCCGTGTTCACTTTTTCCGTTAGGGCCAAATGGTCTCCAAACGCCTTACCTACTTGACGGGGGTGAACTACAGTATGTTTCCCAGCTGGTAGATTTAGGAGCCACGCTGTTTTCAGAATTTAAGTCCAGTGAGAACTGGACGGTTCTTATTTATTATTATTATTATTATTATTATTATTCAACACGTGACTAGTATACAGTTGTCAGTGCCAAAACACATAAGTAACAACAACCAAAATGAGAACTACAGGTAGTCCATGGAAGGGAAATAATCTCTAGAACGTCCATGCGTTGTGTGGGCAGAGATCTTTCTGTTTGCCCTATCTGCGTAAGAGAGTTGACTTACGGGACTTCACCTAGTTCTAAAGACCTGACCCGCATGGTAGCTGGACGATTAACGTAGACCGTTGACAGCCGGGTAGTTCATACGCCATCTTTGCGTTCAGTAACGGTCCACAGAAGCCGGTGACCCACTAGATTGTTCATCTGCCCTCCGTTAGATACTCACCTCTGGTTACAGAAGTGTGGTCACTGACTCCATAGTCGGTCACATTGGCTTTGACACAGCGCCGTACGAGCTATTGTGGTATTTGGTGGAGAACAAAGTGATCAGCCCAGAACTTCCCACGCTCTGCGACGCCGCCGCTGATTGTCCGCGACGGCTTATTCATCTCTCCT